AGGAAGAAAATAAGATCGCAGAATGCAGAAGTAAGGGAACCAGCAAGGTCAAAAAGCGGACCAAGGAGGAAGTGAAAGTAGGGCGTTCCCCGACGCCCAATGCCCTGCCACCTTACGTGAGCGGCGCACTCTCTTTTTGCCACCCAGATACTCTTCAGGCAATTAGACAAATGTTTCCTGTATTTGAAGATAATGGCGTACGCTCCCACCAGCCCCTGAGCCATAAACAAGTTAAAGAGTTAGCAGAGTCCGTTCGGGCTTATGGAGTCAGTGCTAACTACACCATAGCCCAGATTGAAAGGCTGACAGAAACAGCAATGACACCCGCAGATTGGCAATACGTAGCTAAAGCATGTCTTTCGAGTATGGGCCAGTATATAGAATGGAAGGCGCTTTGGCATGATATCAGCATGGCCCAAGCACGCGCAAACGCGGCTGAAGGGCCGCCCGCAGCTCACTGGACCTATGATATGCTGACAGGACAGGGGCAGTGGGTAGCTAATCAGACAGCCTTCCCCCTCCAAGTATATGCGCAAATAAACACATGCGCCGCCAAAGCATGGAAGGCACTCATCAACAAAGGAGAAGTGTCAGGCAATTTGACAAAAATTATTCAAGGGCCGAGCGAGCCATTCTCTGATTTTGTTGCTCACATGATGGAGGCCGCGGGCAGAATATTTGGAGACCAAGAGCAGGCGATGCCCCTGATACAACAGCTAGTATTTGAGCAATGCACAAAAGAATGTAGATTAGCTATAACACCCTGGAAGCAGAAGGGATTACAAGCCTGGTTGAAGGCTTGCAGAGAACTAGGAGGACCACTCACCAACGCAGGCCTAGCCGCAGCCATATTGCAAAGTCAAAAACAAACCAAGATCCCTAGCCGAAATGTTAAATGCTTCCAATGCGGAAAATTAGGGCATATAAAGAGAGAGTGTAGAAGCCCAGCTTCAAAACAAGCAACCCAAAAAACCCCTGGGTTGTGCCCAAAATGTAGAAAAGGCAAGCATTGGGCTAATGAGTGCCGATCTGTTAAAGACATAGAGGGGAAACCGCTCGAGCAGCCAAAAAACGGGCAGAGGGGCCCCCGCCACCAGGGCCCGCAAATGTATGGGGCAACCAGCACCCAAGTGTCCTTCGGGAGCAACAAAACCCCCCAAGGAGAGCCACTCCAGGTTCCACGGGACTGGACATCCGTGCCACCACCAAAATAGTGTTAACACCACAGATGGGAGTTCAACCTATCCCTTCAGACTTCAAAGGCCCCTTACCACCAAATACAGTCAGGTTGCTATTAGGGCGCTCTTCTGCTGCCTTGAAAGGCCTGGTAGTACATCCCGGAGTTATAGATCAAGATTATGAAGGACAGGTGAAAATCATGTGTTCAGCCCCCAGAGGAATCTATCCCATATCCCCGGGAGACCTTATTGCCCAACTGTTAGTATTACCTAGCTTGCATGCTCAGTACCCCGCTGCTGGTGGGGAGAGAGGGGAAGAGGGCTTTGGCTCTTCCAATTGGAACTCAGCATTTATAGTGTTAGATTTAGCAGATAGACCAAAATTAACTCTTCAAATAGAGGGAAAGAGCTTTGAGGGAATCCTAGATACTGGAGCAGATAAAAGTATTATCTCTGCAACCTGGTGGCCCTCCAAGTGGCCTGTGACCCAATCCTCACATTCATTGCAAGGTTTAGG